GAAGCAGTGTGCTTAGTTCAGAGAGATCTAAGACAGAAGTATGGATTCACAGTTATTTAGTTTAGTTTTAGAGTTTTAAACTATGATCATCTTTTGTAGAAAAAGGATTATAATTTATGTCTAATCATGAAAATAATGTTATGCACACTTTTACATATGTAAGGATCTCAATCTGATGATCAAGATGACTCTCAGCTGCAATTCAAGCCATGTTGAACTGGACAAACTCCAAATGTGATTACTTCAAAGATAACTTTTGTTAAGATTCATGCAATGGTTCACACACAATGCGTCAATTTCAGACAAATACCAACATCAGCGCTGGCATCATTTGGTGATAACAACAATCGATGCCAGAGTTTTGGAAAAAAGCTCTCGTAAAAAGTGTGGCACTCCGATGGTTTAATGAGTTTGACTCTTAACAACTACACCAAATTATAACTCAAAACTGAACAAGCAGATTAGGCTGCAGCCTTTATGTGTTGGAATGGTTGGTTTCCTGTGATGGCCATCTTGAATAGGTTTCATATCAAAGACTGGTTAGTAACAGACACAGACCCAGAGATTAGTTTCGGGTAGTTTAATTAAAATCCATTCAGTGGTTTATGATATTTTAGCAAAAAAAAAAAGCTAAGGACAAAAGGCACACGGAGGGAATCACATTTTAGTGATGAGTGAAAACAGCACATGACAGGCACGGAATTATGAGACAACCATCTGGCAGCTGTTGTCTGGGGTTCCCTTTAGGCACACACCAAAAGGAACTTTGTTATTTGGAAGAGACTTTACTCTTCCCACGCTGAAGCAGAAAGTTAACCTGGCTTGAGCATCTGTCTCCATGGATGTCTCTAAAGTGAGACATCTCAAGCACATCCAATTAGAGTGAAGCGACCCTAAAAGCTGACCCCTGACACGCTGAGGAGAATCTGCTCTCTGTATTCACTTGGTATAAAAAGAGGAGTGTCAGTCATGCCTGTCAGCAGAAACGCTGTGGGCATTTTAAAAAGAGGAAGGCAGAAACCAGAGATGGTCTCAGGACGTCCTCTTCAATTTGATTTCAAATATTAGTGTGCCTCATTTCTAAAACGAAAACTCTTACACACGAGTTGAAAACTGACATTTAGGTGCAAATAACTAAAAGGCTAATTATCGCTGTGCTAGAGCACTGAAATATTCCAAACTGACACATCATTAACACCCTGCAAACACCTTTGTGCAACACTTCACTTACATCCTGCTGCATTCAGCGTTGTGACGTCAAAGACGTGTGAGCAAAGTTCACACTTTAGGCACTTTTTTCTAACAAAAAGTGAAACACAGATGTAAAAGAGGAATAAATAAGTTCTGCCTGCAACCAAGGACGATTTAAAGGGAAAGACATCATTGTGCATCTGAACGTATCGTGTCAACAGAGACAGCTGAGCAAATGCATGACTGAGTCTCTCTACCGTGTCTTATTGTGCTCGGCCCATGAGCAAGCCAAACAAGGAGAGGCAGCTCTAAACAACAGAGGTATGATTGGAGCAGTGTGATGGACTGAGACAAACATATTCCAGGAATCCAAAATGTAACATGCCTTTGGTGTATTACGACACACACTGGCTCCTATTTTCTTTGAAAAGAAAAAAAAGAGGGGGTAGGTCGGGTTTTTACAGCATCTGTCTGCATTCGTTCGTGGGGGTTTTATTTGCTCGCTGCTCAAGGCTACCAGGGCGTCAGATTCAGATAACAAGAATTTGTTTGGGTCAGGCTGAGATAATTTTCCATTCTGCCTTCAGTGTTTAAGCTGATCATTCCAGTTCTTCAGTGAAGCCAATTTTGGGTTTTAAAACCTGTCCATACCGTCCGGTGACTCTCTCCGAGATGACGTCCATTTTGCGCACTAATACCGGTATCGCAGCTGGAACATTATCCAGCTTACGATTCACCTCGAGTAACGTCCCAGTCTGAGAAGTCTCCACATGGACGGCGCTTTCCGTGGGTGCGGGTCGCCCTCCAATCGCTCCCGTCTTCCCAAATTTCCAGAAAACCAGATATCCTCCCACTCCAATCAGGAGAAATCCAGTGATCATCAGGCCGAACATCCACACGTCTCCGATATCCTCAATGGACAGCTGGCTGAGGCATATGATCTTCCACTCCTTCCAGGAATCCAAAGTATGCCCCACCGGATGTGTCTCCTGTGGACATGTGGGAGCCCCCTGCTCCGTTCTCATTGTTGAAAAAATCTTGTCGATCGCATTTAATGACCAGTTTATCAAATCCATGGTTAGCAAAAAATAGAGTTTTTCAGAAGAAATGCAGAGAAGCGCTGTGTGGGCAGACCGGACAAAGAGCCTTGGGAAAAAAAAAAAGATAAGGGAGCGAAAGAGAGAAGTGTCTGTACTCCTCGAGTGCCTTGAAGAGAAAAAAATGTTCCCTATAAGAATGCATGATGTCACAGCCTTTAGATAAAAATATATATATATTTTGTATTCATGAAGTCAGTAGGATGTGAACTCTGTCATCAAAGGGTTTTTGCCCTGAGGACATTTGCAGGAAGAGAAACATCAGTGTGAAGTAACAGGAGTTTTTTTGTTGTAGGTCACAGGCACACACTGAACAGCTGTGCTCCCAAACATGGCTGCAGCAGAGCTAGCAGCATCAGTGCAATGCAACAGCTGACCACATCAAAGACCTCCACTGTGCAAAGTCAGGGACAGACAGTAGGGTAGTATTACTCCTGCAGCAGTCAGTCTGCTGTGTGCGAAGCAGAAACATCTGCTTGGTAAAATGTACTTTGATGCAGTGCTGCTGGACATCAGAGCTATGGAGGATGGCACAGGAAAAATGGTAACCATGAGAAGATAATTCAGGTGTAAAATGTTTTACTGTAGAAAAACTCTTATTCAGTCTGGTGTTAAAAATAAGTCAAACTCAACTATTTTAATGCAATTCTGTCACTTTCATGTTCTGGATGACTGCAATAGAAAAGTCTGAACTAATCAGCACTAAACAGTGTTCTAACACAATATGAGCCCGAAAGAGGGGCCAAGGTTCAAAGTTCAAGGTGCTTTACTTAGCATTTTTGCAAGAAAATATGACATTCACAGGTCAAAAGTCTCCTGGTGAAAAACAAAATCTAATCAGAGCTAAATAAAGAGGTCAGTAAATGGATCCAGTAGATATTAAAAAGATAAAAGAGAAGGAGGCAGATACGTCTCTCCAAGGTTTAATTAGAAGAGATAAGTATAATAAATGAAACATACATATTGTATAATGTAGTACAATCGTGTGTGAGGGAAAGGGGGTTCTGCAGACTGATCAGAGATCAGATGCAGATGTAGGTTTGGTCTTTGTCTCTTTACTTCTTCAGCCTGATAAAACAAAATCAGATCAGTAGTATGAGTCAGCTGATGTTGGGAACAAAGTTTCAAACAGTTATCGTCTGCTTTTAGAAAAAGCATTTTGCTGCTTGCTGCTGAGTGGCTGAAAAAACGGTGTTTGGCAAAAGATGAATAAATGCAATAAAGTGAGTTAGAAGCTGTGGTCTCACAAAAATCCTCAGAAATCTCTCCACTGGATCCGTGATCTGCATGTCCCACTCTGAGGACTGGGGCCTCAGACACTTAGATTACCTCACATATAGGATTTTAGGCAAGCTGCATGACATGAATATAAATAAAAGTATGCATTCCTATCACGAGAGACTTAAACGTTTTACACATATCTGACATAGATGAGACTTGCGTTTTCTCCCAGAAGCAGCAGAAACACCACAGCAGGGACTTCAGGAGCTAAAATGTAAGTCAGCATTCTAACACGTATTTCTCTTTAGTTCATTGCTCATTACTTTAAATGCTGTGAAAGAATAAAAGCATGCCTTATAAGAGCCTTTTCATTCTTGATGTTGACTTTAACCAGCATGATGTTTCCTTTTAAAAAAACAACTCTGGGTCGGGAGAGAGGTCCTACCTCAAGTGGAGGAGTTTAAGTATCTCAAGGTCTTGTTCACGAGTGAGGGTAGGAGGGATCGGGAGATCGACAGGCGGATCGGTTCGGCATCTGCAGTGATGCGGACGCTGAGCCGATCTGTCGTGGGGAAGAGGGAGCTGAGCCAGAAAGCCAGGCTCTCGATTTACCGGTCGATCTACGTCCCAATCCTCACCTATGGTCATGAGCTTTGGGTAATGACCGAAAGAACGAGATCACGGATACAAGCGGCCGAAATGAGTTTCCTCCGTAGGGTGGCCGGGCTCAGCCTTAGAGATAGGGTGAGGAGCTCGGACATTCGGGAGGGACTCGGAGTAGAACCGCTGCTCCTCCGGATCGAAAGGAGTCAGTTGAGGTGGTTTGGGCATCTGGTCAGGATGCCTCCTGGACGCCTCCCTGGGGAGGTGTTTCGGCCATGTCCTGCTGGCAAGAGGCCCCCGGGTCGACCCAGGACACGTTGGAGAGGTTACATCTCCAATCTGGTCCGGGAACGCCTTGGGGTCCTGCCGGAGGAACTGGTGGAGGTGGCTGGGGAGAGGATGGTCTGGAGCTCCCTAGTTGAGATGCTGCCCCCGCGACCCAGACAAGCAGAGAAAGACGACGAAAATAATTATTTTTTTGAGAATCCGACACAAACGAAGACAATTTTTCCAGGTTCTGAGACAGAATTTTGCTTGACTTGCTTCATTTAAAGAGAACTCACATTTAATTCTGGAGGGAATTGTGAACAGATCAGTGTTGCTTGACTGGTGCAAAAAATAAATACAGTTCTGAGGAATCACAGCAAAGCCTGTGAAGATCGTGACTATTTAAAGCAACAATATGCCGACTGCAAAGGGTGAACAACCTCTGAGGAGCTGGCGAGAGATTGAAGCAGATGCTACATGTCACATTATCTTCATGTTTTTGTACATGAAAATGCAAGAAACCTGCTTGCTGTGTTTGTAATTATTTCACACAAAGTACGTTATTTATATATTTCACCATGTGTAACCATCTCTGTCTCTCTCCTCCTGTCTCCCTGTCAGATCCCTCAAGTGAGTTATGCCTCCACAGCCCCGGAGCTGAGCGACAACACCCGCTACGACTTCTTCTCTCGTGTGGTCCCTCCGGACACCTACCAGGCTCAGGCTATGGTAGACATCGTCAAAGCCATGCGCTGGAACTACGTATCTACTGTGGCCTCAGAGGGGACCTATGGAGAAAGTGGTGTTGAGGCATTTATTCAAAAGTCTAGAGAGGACGGTAAGTCTCTTTTAAAGTGGACAAACTGTTCTCCTGGTACAGCAGGTTATTTAAGAACGTTGGTGAACAGGTAAAAAATAATCTTACTAACTGTTTTAGATATTTGAATAGCCTTAGTTAGGAGAAACAGAGATGAGTTCTAACCATAAGAATGGCTTAGAGGTATCCATTTAACCAGCTCCCACTTCGGTCACCATTGTGGTTTTACCATAATAATAATAATAATAATAATAATACATTTTATTTAAAAGCGCCTTTCAGAACACCCAAGGTCACTTGACAGAAAACACGTAATAAAATACAATAAAACAATAATAAAACCCAAACAAGAAAAAAAAAAAAACTGAGAGGAACAGTTCAATAAAATCAGAGGATGTAGGCAGATTTAAACATATGTGTTTTGAGTTTTGTTTTGAAAAGGGTAAAACTGTCGATGTTCCTGATGTCTGGGGGGAGTGAGTTCCAGAGACGGGGAGCAGAGCGGCTGAAAGCTCTGCTCCCCATGGTAGCGAGACGGGCAGAAGGAACAGCAAGATGGATGGAAGACGAAGATCTTAGAGAATGGGATGGGGTGTGAATACTTAGGTCTGAGATATATGGAGGAGAGAGATTGTGGATGGCTTTGAAGGTATGGAGGAGAATTTTGAAGATGGACCTGAATTTAACTGGGAGCCAGTGAAGCTGTTGGAGAACCGGGGTGATGTGGTGAAAGGAAGGGGTTCTGGTGATAATACGATAATAGATTAAATATCTAACTTTAAGAGATTGTTACTTTCTTGCTGTATAATTTAGTCACTTATATTATTTAGATGATTTAAATAATTTGAAATTGTGAGTGCTTCCTCAGTAGTCTTTTAAGTTTGATTCTTTCTTGAGCTTGATAAAAACAAAAATTACATGAATGCCTTTGGAATGGCATCCCAAAACGAATCACCTTTTCTCCAAACTGAGGTTGTTTGCAGAGCCAACGCTCAGGTGAGACATTTATCGTTCACAAGGTTTTATTAAATTCATCTTTGGAGGATCTGACCAATCCCATTCAGTATATTATTTGTGTAAAAAACAAACAAAAGAGCTGAAAGTGCCATCAACACATTCTCACCTCGAGGTCTTGCTGTAAAATCAGATTTTACACGTAACTTTCTGAGGTGTGATCAGAGCTGAAGTCTGACTTTGTTCTCTGAATGGGAGCTTCATGGCAGTTTTTTCGAAAAGAAAGAAAAGAACAAAAAACTGAGCTACATACAGATACATACATGCAGAATTTGGAAGATGAAATAAGGGAGGCGAGTTTGATTTCTACAAGTTGATGAAGAACCACGGAGTGAAAGAAAGATGCAGAGCTGGCCTGGAGAACCATAAGAGGTCAGGACAGTGTTGGGAATCCAGTGGGTTTGGTGCAGGACACTTCCAGCTCACACTTGGCCTGACCCCAAGCCTTTGCTGTAGCAGAATGTAATCACTACTGACATGTCCAGTACTCTCCATGCCACTGCACCCCCTCCCTTGTGCCTGTAGACCTGAAGCTGCTGCCCATCATCAGTCTTGCTGGAGAGGAACCAGCAGTAGATCCCTCCTGCAGAACCCCGAGTACAATCAGCTCAGCTACCTCTAGGCTCACTAGTCTATACAAGTGTAGCTCAGATCATCACAGGAGCGTTAAAAGCATGTCCTTACTAATCGCTTTCCTATTTAACAACACTGTTTTCATAAGAAAATATTATAAAAGAACATCTTACAGATTCAAATGTTTTATTCACATCAGCATTTTTAAATCAACAAGTTCTTTAAAACATTTACAACTTCTCAATAACTACCAAGCATAAAGTATGTGTGGTATGCACTTTGTCCTGTTCAGGATAGACGAGGCAGAGTTAAAATGTGAAAATAATATGGTAGAAAAGGTAAAGTATAATTTTAATGATCCATAAACTCTGTTTGCAATAGCTTTATGTGACAAACACATATTTTTTTTATTTATTTTTTGGTATCTACTTCAGGCTGAACTCACACAGCAACACTAATGATTTAACAGCTGATGCTTGAATTTTGGTAAAAGGTCTGAAAACCCCTTCGGTTAATTCCCATCAACACTCGGCGCAGCGCATTTATGCAGAGAGCTCTCGGTAGCCCCTGAAAGCCTGAAAATCTCTGTAATATCCAACACTTTTCACTGGCTGTAACCATATTTGACGTCTTGCCTTCTCTTTAGGACAGCATCTTTGAAAACTTTTGGATGTGATATGAGTGTTTATGGGTAGTAATAATTTAACTATGAACAAAATATTAAAACAAACCAAATATACTTTAGCAAAACAGAGTTTTATGACAAAATAAGTTTGGTGCGGCTTTGTTGCTCTGGATGATGCTCTACTGCTGCCCATCCAAGGTTTATGGTTACTGTTTCACCCACCCTGTGCTTGTTTAGGTCTTCCACGCGTACAATTATTCAAATCTGCATCTAAATATTTGCTTGAAAACAACGTAATCAACAGCAAGAATGGGCAATTATTCTGTCACAGGCATGCTCTGATTGTGTCAGATTTCTGAAAGGTGCAAAGTGCTCACCCCCTGAAGGCTGAACTCACACCTCTTGTGTTGAGAAAAATAAGTAAAAGTAAAAATAGCAGATTGAATTGATCAAAAATGGTCCCTTTATTGTGCTTAATAATGATAAATGACCCGTACTGGTCCTTTTAGAGTCAGAGTACTCCAAAGCGCTTTAGTGCATCATTCATCCACACACATTCATGATGAGCTATGTTGTGTGCTGGGGCACACTGACAGAGGTGAGTCTGCCGTGCACTGGTGCTACCAGTCCTTCACACTTTGTGCAACGTCCTGTAATATGTTTCTGCACATTTTAATTTGAAGCATCAACAACAAGGCATGTTTATGTGTTCTGGACATTCATACTGCTTTTATGGCAGTGCTGTCAGTCCAAGTCTTTCATTAATCTCCATTAGGCAAGAATCATCTGTTGCCATTTTTATAAAGCTACTGAAGACATATTTATACTCTAATGCTTTTAACACTTCTAGTTGACTCGGTAGTCCAGCTTTTTACCATTTGTTATGTTAATATTGATTTTTTGTGTGTGTGTGTTTTTATTAGTTGACTGGTTATATTTAGATGTTTTGATATGTCTACATATGTTCAGCACTTTGGGCAACATTGTTGCACTTAAAGAGCAAGTCACCCCCAAATCAACTTTGTTTTGCTGATAAACTCTATAAATTAGTGTCCAGTCGTGCTGTCGACATGTGTAGTCAATAATTTGGCCCTTTAGTGCATCTTAGTTAAAATGTAAATATTCTGCCTAAAACTGTCAGTGTTGCTTCAGGTAAAACTTTTCACTACATTTGAATTTAAATCTGCCATCGCAATTGGCTGAGAGGTACACTCATACTGAGAGGTACATCATACTGGTTCAGTATGATGTTATGATGTCGATGTGCGCCTGTGTGTGTGTTTATGTGTTAGAGGCTCCGCCCTCTCGGCCAAGCAACAACATTTATTACATTTTTCAAAAATGAAGAGGGAGTGGAGTAAGACTCTGGTAGGGGGTGACTTGCTCTTTAAAGTGCTATACAAATAAACTTGATTTGATTTGATTAAATTTAAGCAATAGATTGAGTGGGAGATGAAGTGTATTTATTGTTGCCCTATACTCATAAGCTACTCTTTTTTAACAAGTATTGAAAGTTATGCAGGAATATGTATTTGATCTATAAGGCACATCAGAAGCAGACGTGCATTTTTATGGCAACTATTTAATGTTGTCAGAAATTTAAATGAAATCCAGACCTTTCCCAGCCTTGAGCTCTGTGCTGAATGTGACTGAAACTAAAGAGATGTCAGGATGAAGCTGAACTGCAGACAGAAAAGGCCTCTAGTTTTGATGGTTTGTGCTCAGAAGGTTAAACATTTTCTCTGCTGACATTTGATGTGGCTCCTCGTAGCTATCTGTACTAAGGATGGAGCTGTTTGATAAAACGGTTCTCAAGCTGCAAGTTTTTTAAATTCACAAGAAAGCAAAAAGAAAAACACAGAATTGCTAAGTGATAGTTAGGCATACAAACTCATCTTTTAAAGACAAACAATGCAGGTTTTACTGCTTTTTAATTTTAACCAATCCTTACACAAGATTTCTGTCAGATCAGCCTGCCAACAGCTGCTTTTATCCTGACTGTTGGAGCAAAGCGTTTACATGTCCCTTTTCATATTACTAACTTATTTTGTAATTCCCACATCTTCTCCTACAATCCAGGTTTTTGATTGATTATGCAAGAGGCACAGAGGACAGACAGGCAGCTGTGTGAAAATCAAAACCACAGGCATTTGGCTGCTAAATGGGTTTTGCAGTTGTCTGCTTTCATAATAAAACAGCAAGATCAGAACTGGCCAAATGTTCCATCTCATTAAGCAGCCAAAGGCCACTCTAAGCAGCAGTTTCACCCAGAAATCCTTGGAGACGTTACACTGTGCTGCTTTGTGTCAGAAAAATCTGCTTTCAGATTGATTTCAACAGCCTGTTTGGTTCTGTAATTTAATTAGAACAACATCTGTGTGTGTGCGCATGTGTGCGTGCGTACGTGTGTGTGCATGCATCACACATGTGCGTGCATGCATGCGTGCATGTGTGTGTGTCCACCAAGAATTTTCAGTATCACTTCAACAACTTGGGATTTTAGTGCTCAAAACTCGATAAAATGTTTGACATCTTTATTTAAAGCTAAAGCAATGATTCTAAATTCTGACAGTTTGGAAAGATACACTGCCTGGCCAAAAAACAAAGGCCACACACTGATATTTTGTTGGACCATCTTTAGCGTTGATTACAAAACACCTTTGCTGTGGCGTTGTTTCCATAACTTCTGCAACATCACCAGATTTATTTCCATCCAGTGTTGCTTTGATGTTTCACCAAGATCTTGCATTGAATCTGACCGCTGCACAAAGCCTTCTCCAGCACATCCCAAAGATTGTCAACGGGGTTA